CGATGGCTCAGTCTTCCCTGCTTTTAGGATAATGATTTTCCTAGATGCTGGGGTGCACATACCGCTTTCTAGAGCTAATTTTACCCCTGGGTTCTTTACACTGACTAGATAAACATGTAAAGCTGCGTCAGGAGGGAGAGGAAAAATATCTGGGTTGGCTAGCAGAGACACTGTTCCTACCCCTGTGGGAATGGAGAGATTTTTCCATAGATGGGAGTGCTGCTTACATGCCATAAAAAGGCATAATGAGATCTTTATTTCAACTGTTTGGCACCATGTTTATCCCATAAGAGAGAGTTTTATGTTTCCCAAATCCGACCTCACACTAAAGTATCTCACCCAAATCTGGCCTGCACAACACTAACAGAAATGTGTCAGAAGACACAGAGTCCAGATCTTATGTGAACCTGAATAGTTAAATCCAGTGGAACACTCAGAGAATAAACTCTTCATAGTCCCAAAAAGCACTTCATAGGAAGCACAACTGGGAGATAGTGGCAGAAACTTCAACCTCACTTGTTAAACAAGACCATGCTGAGTAATTCCTGCAGTCTGATACCATAGGTCAGCCACAGGGCTTCACACCACCTCTGCTCCCTTACCAGTTTGGAGGGAACAAAACCAGACTGGAGGGGATCCCCCTCAGCATTTCTCACTCTTGGTAGACCATCAACCACCTCCTATGTGCACTCCATGAACTTGTGTTGTTATTCCTCCCTGACACTGGGATTTCTGCTCTTCCAGTGTAAACACAACTTTTGCTTAGTAGGCAGCCAGCCTGCTCAAGAATCCCAATTTCTCCAGTTCCAATGTTTCTCAAGTGGCCAATCTGCCCATTCTCAAATGTTGCATTTCTGCCAGGCAACCAAACCAAGATGTGGCTGGTCAGCTTGGAGAGAGTAACAGTTTCTAATGAAGCAGATGAGAAAAGGATCTAATTTCACAGTTACTAATGCCAGTTGCAGTAAGATTTAGCCCCTCCAGTGCCCAAATCAGTTTAGAAGGTAGAATTCTCAGCTGCAAATTAGGAAGGGCTTCACTGAGGTGGGAGTGATGGGGGCAGGTGGAGAGAGGAGCTGCTCACTGCCGAAGAACCCTGGTCAACAGCACTTCTACCCTATCAACAATAACACTGCAACAAACTCCCTAAAAATCCTAAAATTAAAATATTGATCTCAGATCCCAGTAAACATTACACAGATCAGTGCAAAAATATTCCCCTATAGTTTATCTGAGATCCTACCATAACTCCAGGTCAAGCAGGATGATTTTATCTTTGTTTAACTCTGAATTCCAGTCAGGTTCTTCCACATAGTCTGGAAAATGTTTCATATCTCTCTTCTCACATCTCCCTATCTGTAGAACAATGCCAGTATTTATCACCCCTATGTAAAGATCAGTTAACTGAAATCCCCAACCACTCAACATAAATCAAACTTAACACTAGTGCAACAGTGGTGAGAGTACACTTCCCTTTTTCTCCAGGGTAAAACACCAACCACATTACTCTGTCAGGCCCACAGTTGCTCATTCTCTTTTTTCATGCATCTTGATGGGACAATCATGCAGCCCAGCAAGGGAGGAGAAGACATGTCACATGAGCTCCAGGCGGTGCATGCCCAGGATCTAGGCTCTGTGAAGCTCATGCACATGGACAGTTACCTCCATTTTCCCCAGGTCTGTCTACTGGTCTCCAGGTTATTTGTCTTCATTAGAGGGGCTGCCTTCTGGTTTGGAAACAAGAATGGGCTTTTAACAGAGCTACTTGCATGGTTACTGTGACCTTGAGAGATGACAACACCTTCACATGATGAAGAGACTGCTGCGAACTCTTGGGTATCAAAGAGGGAAAGGGAGCAGACAGATCAAGAGTGTGATAAGCAAGAAAATAGCACTCTTCAGGCAAAATCTTTTTCAAAGAACGAAAGAGCAACCAGGAAGGGACTTGTCCAGGACTGAGGAACAAGTCAGGGAAGCCTGAGCAGTGAAGGACATAATCAGAAAGAAAGAAGTTAAAATCAGAAACAATTTAAGAGTGGGTGAAATCAAATATAAGTCATTCTCTTACAGTATGGTTCCTTACCAAAATACATTAACTAGTATTTTGCTAACTATTGCCAGAACTATCTGATACATGCGTCATCTGCCAAGAAGTGACCTGCCTGAACCCTGTAGCAAGTAAGCATTGGGAACAACCCACTTCCTTTTGTCAGCCTACTACACTCAGCTACATTTTCCAGAAGCAATTTCCTAGGCTGCAATTAGTAAGAAAACCTATCTCCTCCATTTCCTTAAGGAAATCCAGATTCGCAAGGCCAGGGCTGCAATCTTATTCTATAGTGTTCAGCTCTGTCCATTCAGGCGGCCAGACTTCCTTCTCGCAAGCAGTGACACAAAGCACTGCATCTTGTCCTTCCTGTCTCCTTCAAGCCATCCCTACAGATCCCGTGGCAGAAGGACCCGTAGTCCCCAGGGGAGATACCGATCCTTTTGGCATGAGGAAACTGCAGATTGCTTCGCTTGCTTCAGCATGAGGTCTTCAGCAGTTGGGGAGGCTAAGAAACTCACTACCCACACATTTCCCTGTTAAGGCAGGGCAGACAGCCTGCTTCAGACTCTGTCCAGGCAGATTTTTTTGAAGACAACACATGAAAGCTGCTGAATGTCAGAAGACATGTTTGCCACCCCAGCTCTAGTGCTGATGAGCTTCTGGACACGCAGAAAACACCCTGAAGCAAGCTTCTTCTGGCACACAAAATGATTACCCACCATTGAGGCAGCTGACTGTACAGAAACAGACCTACAGAAGTGGAGATTCCCAGCAGGATGTCATGAGATTATGGCCACAGAAGTAGAAAAACCTTACTCAGAATGAAAAATTACATGAGGTCCCCGACAGAAGGAAGCAGGTGACACCTATACACAGAAAGTGAATGTTGATACTGCACATGGTCTCAGAAAAACACATTTAAGTGTCAACTTAATGTTGAAAGCTCTTTAAGCCTTTCCAGGTGATAAATACAGGTCATCAATATGCAAATTCTTGTCCAGTGCTGATTCTGCCCCTAACTTCAGGTCATGTTAAGAAAAAAAAAATCCAGACAAACCCACCCCATACATCCTCTTAGCTTCTAAAATTATCCTGCACTTCCTTCCTTGACGTCTTTTTATGCAGCAGACTTTGAGGACAGCTGCCACCATGCCTTTAAAGTGAATAGCATTTTAGTTAGCAGGGCAGCAGCTGGGCAACACAGGAGTCTGTGTTGTCCAGAAAGTCTGCTTCTCAGGCAGAAACTGGAAATACGTTGTGCAGAGGCAGAATTCATGGATCAGTGAAGGATGAGGAAAGAATGCAGGAAAAAATCCAAGCATGCATTTGTCAGTTTTTCAGAGGCAGCTAGAGCAGCTGTCCCAGCCTCAGGCTGGGTTGTCAGTGTAGCAAGGCAATGAGAAAACACCTGAGGCAAAACCAAAAAGTCATCCTCATATTGCCATCAGAAGTTTTTGGCTGGTGTTTTTTTTTTTTTTTTTCAAACTCCCTCTTTCCTAGAAACTCAGCCCTGACTGCTGGGGTTCTGAAAACACTCTCTTTCCATCACCAGGGCCATGCATGGAAGTTGTTATCTCAGCACACACTTCACCTTCCTGCCCTGTATGTCAGCACAATTCGAGACTAAGAATAATGTTCAGCATGCCAGGGACAAAATCACACAAAGAAAGGACACAGCTGTAGGAACTAAACAATTCACTGTGACTTGAAAACCAAAGAAAACATCTTGACGGGTTTCTGAGGAGCAACCAAAAAAGCAACCTTTTACAGGTTTTACAGCAACCTTGAGGTTTCCCTGAGGAAACCTGCTCTTCAGTATTTGTTTACTTTTTCTGAAGTTATGGATGGCCCATCTACTTTCTCTAAGGTCATCAACCCTGTTATTGTACCGCAGCCCCAGCCTGAACCACCCTAGCCCTCATAACAATGAGGTTCCTGCCCTGCTCTGCCAGCACAACTCACCTCGTGACTGGTGGGCCAAGCAACACTTGATCCAGCTCTGCCAGTAGCTCCTGGGCCATGGCAAGCAGCCCTTCTGCTCTTCTGCATGGTAAATATTGCTCTTCTGACTGGGAAAACCACAGCTTGCCCCGCACCATCCTCAGGGAAGTGGTGCTGTTGGCTCGCTACCTTCTGTTTGTGCATGGAGAGGTGACCTGGCTGATCTCAGAGCACCAAATTCCCAGGAGAAGGAACTGCTAACTCCCAGCACTCAGGGAGAGGTATGTCAGCAACAAAACTTGCACTTCTGGCCAGCATCTTATAGGAAGTTCTTCAGAAACCATCAGTAGCAACCATTTGTTTCCCTGAAAAATAAAGAGTGGGAGTTTATGTTGCAATCTCAAAACCTCTGGAAATCACTAGTCTATTCTATTCTATTCTATTCTATTCTATTCTATTCTATTCTATTCTATTCTATTCTATTCTATTCTATTCTATTCTATTCCATTCCATTCCATTCCATTCCATTCCATTCCATTCCATTCCATTCCATTCTATTCTATTCCATTCCATTCCATTCCATTCCATTCACTGGTAGAGCTCAGACAATAAACTGTTGTCTTTCACTGGTATTGCAAGGCCTAGGACATAATCCCACAACACTCAGCTCCTTTAGGGAGATGGCAGTGTTACCATGTCCTTTTAACTAGATCTAAGTTTCTCACTGTCACATCTTTTAAGAAGAAAACTGCAAGCTGATGCCATGCCAAAGAAAAATTATTGCGGTTTCACGGTTCATCTCAAAAGGTCATATGTCTTAAAGAATACACCAGGTCACTACTGCCTTTCCCAAAGGAACTATTCATGCACTCAGAGCTCATGTGTGTTGCTTCTCTCATCGATTTATAAAAGCTCACAAGAAGTGTGCTACAAATGAAAGGAATCATGCGGCCTTATGTTTAAAGCTGCTTTATTTAGGTTGGGGTTTTTTTTTCAGCTAAGGTAAATACAGAAAACAGGATAGTCAATACATCAGTAAAGCATGTAACTTCAGATAAAGAATAATTAAGCAACAAGCAGCACACACACAATACCTCTAAAAATTTAAAATACAGGGGTTTTATCCACTGAGATTATTTTAAAATAATCTGAAGTAAACTGCAGCTGCTGTAGCCAAAAATACTTCTGTGAATTTATCTCAAAAGTTCTTTTGCTCCAATTTTTTTAAAAAAACCCAACCCAACACTCTAAAAAAACCCTGAAGTTCCACTTTTTGTACAGAAAGGAAGCAAAGTGTAAACTTACACTACAAATTGTAAACCTAAAACTAGAAAAAAGCCCAACATGCAATGAAGCGTTTCTGGTATCCCAAACAAGCAGGAAAAAAAACGGACCAGATGGAGCTTTGGTTGGATCAGTTTGGGTTTTTTTAATTAGAAAAAGTGAAATATATACATAAATAATTCATATTGCACCTACAATAGTAACAGCAAACGTCCCCCCCCTCACATCCTCAGTAATATACACAGACATATATGCACATATAACTTTTCACCAGACACTAGAGAGGCTGCCAGTCAAAGTATTGGTTCTGAACACTTAGTCATAAGGCTTGCATCTGTTAAGTTTTCTCTGCTGGTTTTTTAGACTGAAGTTTACATTCTTGGTAAACACATGACATAAAAAGCACAATCCAAAACGCTATGCACTTTGTAAGATGGAATACTTCAGATGCACAAATGCTAATTGAACCCAAAAGATCAGAGGATACTGGTAGTGATCCCAATGTGATGACAAGTATTCAGACAGAAGGAAGAGTGAGAAACCCCTTAAGCATTAGCATTCTTCAGCAGAACAAAAATCACCAGAGGACCCCCTGCAGTCCTCCTGCCTGTCTATTTAAAACGGGCCATGAAGTCAGTATGCCCAGAGGTACTCCTGTTTTTAGGAACCTTCACCCCGTGAAGTAGGCACAGGGCATGCCGAGGCTCCCACCCCTCACAAATACAATGAGCTGGAAGGCAAGCCCAGGAGAGCTCTGCTCTCATGAGCAGCCTGCTGCCACACAGCAAGTAGAGGGGACAGGCAACTGGAGCATTAAGCCTGGAAATGGCCAGATCAGCAGGCTTGGGCAAGCAGTGAGGAGCAACTAGGGGTTGTGGTGGGGCGTGGAGCTCCGATTGTACCTGGAGCAGGAGCATAGTTAAGTCCCAGCTCCTAAGAGTAACGCAGTGTCTTTATCTGCTCCCAAAACCATGGCAAAGCAGTAAATTCAACCTCTGTAAGACTCCCCACTGGTACTATTAAATACATTCACAGTAGTGACAGACGATAGTTAGCTCAGAGTGTAACATCCCACACAACAAGGTCCAAATATGGAATAATGGCTTTTGGCCAGCAACAGACAGTTTGTCTCTGTTCAAAAAGACACAACAAAGAAGGATGAAGACATGGGAGACTATTCTGAACAGTGCATAAAATGACCGTGAGAACTACTGACAAACCTAGCCCACGCAATTTGACAGCGAAGCAAGGAATAAGCTGGGGTACGAACAGAATTGTTTCAGAAAAAAAAACCCAGAAAGAACGTGACAGCGAAACAGAAAGGAAAGACGGGGATGCCAATACTTCCACTACTGGGCTTTCCTTCCATCTTCTCACTTATATATTAAAAAACAAACCACCCCAGGATTAGAAAGAAAAGCCAAATAAAATAAATTGCTTCTGTTATTTCCCAACTGTGGCTGCTATTGCCTCTAATCTGTGACCTGCTTGGAGCCCTTTTGCTGGTAATTTTTGCCAGACTTGGTGTGATTTGAGTCCTGGGTTTTGAGTCCAGCAGGTCTCTCCAGAGAGAGTTAAGCAATGCAGTTATTGGCACATTCACTGAGAAAAAAGAGTTGTATCAGCTGGATAAGAGAAGGAAAACCAGATGACAGGAAGAGGGCAATGAACGTAGTGTTGCTGCAAATAAAATTGCAGACATATGTTGGTAAACTTTAAATCCCTCTTTATTACAAGATCAATTAGGCACTGGAAGAGGATCCCCAAAAAGCTTGCAGAGCTTCCATCCACAAATGTTTTCAAAACCCAACTGGAAGAAGGCAAATACATTTTGCACACTAGAAGTACTGTTGTCCCTCAAGTGGGGTCGTTTACCCGGTGTCCAATACGCCAATATACGCACAGAGCAGAGGTACTTATTTATTCCATGCCTGCGCAGAGTGGGGAGCTAGGTGGTAATTCCAAACTAGCACACTGCACAAAAGAACTTCAATATATTTATAAACTTCAGATTACATGAATATACATTTACTGTAATGACCACTGTTTAGTTTCTTATCAGTTTGTCCCTCATTGGCTAACAACATGCCTTGTGTTGATTTGAAGTTACAGCGTCTTTAAATTCTTCTGTGCAAACTCAAAGGTGGAGGGCACGTCTTCTTGATCTTAGATTGAGTTGGTGGTTACAGTCTCCTCCCCCCAGCCGGTGCCTTTACCTTTTCCGCAGTTACTGCTGATTTTCTTCTCAGACAATCATCCACCTTGTGGGGATCATCATCCCCAGGCAGGATGATCCCCTCCTATCAGTCATTTTAATGTTAACCAGACATGCATTGTTTATACACAGTTGGAGTAATTCACTCTAGGTTCCTTCTTTAGATCACAACACTTCTAAATTAGTGACTTACACTGTCATTGTTCTGTTTACAGGTTTAGAATGAGCAGAGTAGAAAATTTCCATACCAATAGGTGACACGAGCAAAGCAGATTTTGTCTGGCAGTAGAAGAGTGGACTAAGTGGTCCCTCTGGTCCTACTTTTTATGATTAAGAGTCTAGACCAGATAAACACTGTGCTAGTCTTTTCAGGATCAAGTCAGCATCTAGATAGGGTAGTGTACGTTCTATTTTATTGTTGTTTCCTTCCAGCCAGTCAAGTCACTGCTTGTAAGGTGGACTTCAGGCTGCTGGGCTGTAACAATCTGGTAGGTGAATGGAAATCCTCTAGGATCCTAGAAAATAAAGCAAAAACAGGAAAAAGTGAATCATGGCTACTGTGTTGCTGCCTCAGGTCTTGCTGAGTGGTGTGGTTGTTGTGGTGGTGGGAGTGTGGGCGAAACACACAGTGAGGAAAGTGGAGAGGAACAGTCATAAAACTGTCCTTTGGTGAGCAACCATAGGACCTTCCCTGCTGTACAACGAGTAGCACATCTTCCTAAAACACAGTGAAACAGCCTATATTCCCCCGTGCTTCCTTGCTTCACTACAACTGATCCCTTACCTTAAATTTAAGAAGCTACCTTCTCTTTAACAGCACAGACGCACACCTGCCACACAAAATGTCATTACATGGAAGGATCTGTGCCTGAACCCAGAAAACCTGCGCTCAGCACCGCTTGTCCCAAGGACCGCAGGAGATGCATGCAGGCCCAGAGGCAGCACCGCTCCCAGTGCCAACGCTCACTCCATCCAGCTTGCCCCACACTGACAACACCCGCCCCCCACGCCCCTGACTTCTCACAGGGGATACTCTGAGAGATGTTCAGCCCCCTCAATATTTTGTTATGCTCCAAGGAGGAATAGTCTTAAAACTCTCTTTAAGCAACAGAAATTCCTTCTGGGAGCATATTTCTGAGAAAGCCTGAAAACAACAGTTACGAAAACATCATGCTATACACTATGCAACCACATTTTCTTCTTGGGTGGGGGATAAACTACCCAGTTAATCAACACCTCATTCAAAGCCATTTAGTACGAGCAGAGGGGCAGGAGCTGGCTTAGAAACCATTGCACCTGGGGAGGAAGCCAAGTGATCCTGCTCGGCAGTAGCTAACAAAAGACATGACCAGTGTAGAGGGAAGTACACTATTGAAAAAGGTGTTTTAAAGCTTATATCACACAAGATAGAAATTTACATGTGAATTTCAGTTTATGATCACTGAAGGAAAACCTGAAGTTATTACAGTACAACCACAACACCAAATATTTAAGTAAACTAATGAAAACAGAGAAGGAGAAAAAAGAATTACATTGGAAGATTTAAATCAAAGCTTCCTGTCCAATGATTTCAGTCACCAAGATTTAAAAATCAGTCCAGCTTATAGTACTCTATCAAAGGCAGCTACTAGATTTTTTTTGTCTTCCCACCATAAAATTATTCTAAATCACTCTGCAGATATGATTACAGTGCCTAGAGACAACAGCCGAAGAGACACGATTAAAAAAAGACCCCTAGCCTTTGTCCTGCTGGCTTTTGGAGCACTCCCTGGAGACACATGGTCACAAGTCTCCAGCCAGCTCAGGTTATCCTGTCCTTCCCTTTCCTGTCGCTTTAAACAGCAGCCAGCCCCTCTCAGAAACCTGGAGATCTACACACACACCAGGATGAAATTTGCATATCCTACCATAGCACGTATGGTGAAAATTTGGAAAGATGGGCTCAAAAGCCATTCCTGCCTTCAGGTAAAGGATGGAGCAGCAAGCATGTCATGGCACTGCTCGCGCTGCACAGCACAGCCAGCCAGCCCTCAAGCTGACTGCGGCCACCTGAACCTCTGCTACACAGCGCTCCCCAGAACCTCACCCTCTGCCTTGACATAAGCATGGCGTGAGATTCACTTGCTTCCATCTCCCAAAAATTTAATAAGGTACCTTGAAAGTACAATTGTCCCTTTTTGAATATAGATATTGGCAGCTGAGTGCAGAGCCTTACTGCATATTCAAACAGTAGAAGAAAATAAGACAGCATTTCCAAACAGCACACACATAATATGGCATGACAAATTTTCAGAATTAATCTTACTCTATTTGCATACAATAAGAATGATTTATTAAAAAAAGAGAAAAAAAAGGCGGCATTTTCCATTTCCTGTTAATAAAATACCAAATGAATCAGGGAAGTTGTTACATTGTTCTTTGTTTTCATTAAACTAAGACCATCAAGACCTGTTCAAGCAGTATTTCAGATTTTTAAAAAAATTCATCTGAAGACCAGGTTATGTGATTTTTTTTTTTTTTTAATTTACTATGTACCTACTACTAAATCAAACTTTCTTTTTAATTCTGGAAACCACACACACTGCAGAGTTCAGAATATGGCAGAGAGATTCAAGTGAGGAATATACAGAACCCTAAATGGATTTATAAACCGTGAAAAGCAAACCAACTTTCCTGGTTGGTAATACACACAGATAGCATCATATATTGAATATATAAATAATTTAATATTTCAGGATATCGTTCCGATATTTGAGACCCAATTTATGACACTACCTTTATGTAGTTTTGAAAAAAAAACCCAAGAAAATATATATATGGCATCTTTACTTTTTGTGTAGAAGAGTAAGAAAAAGGTTTCCATCTACTTATCTAATAGCCCTGCATACAGCCAAAGTATTTTGCAAAGGAAAAATATTTCAGAATTGAGCATATGAATAAATCTTACCAAGGAAGTAAACAAGAAATTGAAACAGTGAGGCAACTATTCATATATCACAAGAATGCTGATTTTTCTCCCTTTCAGCTGCCAGCCATTTTCTTTTCTGGTTACATACAAAGTCCTATTGTTGGAATGAAAAGGAGAATGAAAGACTGGAAAATTACTTCATAATTAAATACCAGCACAGATATGATGCAGAGGTTAGAAAATGTGTTAATCACACATAGCAAAGACCTCCCTGTTTGCAAAGAAGGGGCTTCATTTTTAATAGCTTATACTTCAACTCTTCTCCTTTAGGTGGGCAGGCCAAGTTCTGAGATGTTTTCTACATTGGTACCTTCATCCTGTAGGTATCAAACAGCATTTGTTTCATCCTTCAGACAGAAACTCCAATCATGTCCCAGGAGACCTGAATTCACCCGGGCATCTTCCCCTCCTTCCTCTTCTGCCACTCTTTCTCCCAGCTCTTCTCTAAAATGGAAAGCAGGACAAGGAGCATGCTCTCCTCAGAAAATTATGCTGGGAGAAAACATGATGCAAAACCAAACAAAGCACCGGACGTTCCTGTGCTTCACAGTGGCAACACATAGCACTAAATTGCGGAAAGCTGAAAAGAGCACCCATGCTTTCTATGTATATATGATGCAGACTGGGGGGGTACTGGCAGGCACATTTCTGTGAACAGAAAATTAAGTGACTTACTAGGGAACAGGAGTTGTCAGGAGGCAGTGTGTGATTAAGCCCAGAAAACATCACTTGGCCTGAGAAATATTTATGTCTGCAGGGAACCTGATGGGCAGCCTCAACACAGAATTGCAGAATTAGGTCTGTTTGGCTATAATGTTTTGACGCTGTGGGGTTTTTGTTTGTTTGTTTTTTGGAGGTTTTTTGGTGTAGTGCTAAGGAGAGTAAAGGGATAAGGCTGTTGTAAGCAAAACAACTTTCACTTATACCATGCATATTTTAGATATTTTGAGGAATTAAAAATAGAATATAATCTCCTACGCACGATAAAGCCACACTTCAGAAAAAAACAAGACAATTCTAAAATGAGCCTCCCCAGCTGGGACACGATGGCAGAGACCCGTCCATCTGTGAGCAGGCTGCATTATATCCATCTATATCCTCATGAAAGAGGGAGTTATGTCCTGAGTTTATCATCTGAAAGGCTGGTATTTAGCTGTCAATTCAGAAAAAAATGATTCTGAAAAGCCTCCTAAAACCGAGTTACTAGTATATTTTTCTCAACTACCTAGTCTTTCACTATTAAGAAAAACAGCTCTACGTCAAAGCAAATCCACTGAATAAACAAGCCAAGTCATACAGATAAAATAAGAGTTGCCATAATTTTTCATCCAAAGCTTAGAAACACAGCCTTCTCCAAACTGAATAAACACTAGGGTATGATGCTATAATAGCTATTCCAGAAATAATTCCTATCTCTACTATAAACAAAGCAATGGAAAGTGTGTTCAAGTACTTGTTCTTGTAAAGTTTCCCAAATAACTACAATCTCCTGCACAAGACTGCCATATTTCCCAACCTTTCAGAACATTTTTGGCCACCAAACCTTAGGTTTCTACCTACATATTATAGTTAATCAGCCAAGTTGTTATTTGCAGCTTAACAGACCTGAACCTGTATTATCTGTAGCAACTTCCAAACTTCAAAAAATAATAATCAGGGCATCTTAAATCCCTATTCAGGGTATTAAGCGATCTCTAGCTGGTAATAAAGAGGCATTGTCAATCTGTTTTATAGCACTTGTGTAACACTGGAGGTACACTGAGGTTCAGCATCTCTGAAGTGCAGTTAGTTGGCTGGCTGGATTCAGACACAAAAACCTTGAAACAAAGACTTTAATTTAGATCTAAGGCTTTCCAGGCAAAACATGCATAAGCTACCCAAGAGAGATCAACATAACAATGCTTAAAAAAAAAAAACCAACAAAAAAACATGCTGGCCTTTATATCCATTTGTGAAATAGCCCTTCCTCACAGGCCTCCAGGAAAACGTTTGCGTGAAATTTTATCCCCCTGCAGACTGCTAGGTCCTGAGAACTGACTATAAAGCTTTTTAACTGGTGAGGCTGAAACATGAGTATTCTGCAAGCCTTGAAATAAACAATGCTGTGGAAAGCATTCAGGTTGAGACATGTATGCAATAGGTAAGTCAACAGAATTTATTTAGACTAATAGCTTTTATTTTGCTTTAATCCAGGCACTTGGCTTGTTAACTAGACTGCTTTACATTGGTGTGGTCTACAGTTAAGCTCTATTAGTTGAGCCAGGTAGGAAACTGTGTCACTTTTTACCAGAAGAATAGCACTGAGAAACCTCTAGCATGGGTGAAGTCATGTCTGGTGATTCATTGCAGCCTGCTTATCGCACATAAATAGAGTGATAGGCACATCTAGCTTTGCCTCTCTGCTTGGCAGAGGATGAAGATGTGAGTTTTCCAACGTTTTTGCATCAGCTCTCACCACACAGGCTGCTCAGTTTGTTTCCAGACAGTGACTTTTAGCCAAATGTGGTGCAGATGCTTCACTTGGGATGTTCTTAGGGAGAATCAAAACGTATGTATGCCCTGTAACTGATACAGGAGGCAAATGTCTTAAGGATGGGACATGAGCTTTGAGCCCCAGCTCTTCACCTGATTCCCAAGCATCTACCACGAAGAGAAGGGAAACAACAGAAATAAAAGCAAACCAAAACCCAACCATATTCTCAACAGCAGAAGCAGAAGAGAAGAAACTCTGATGGAAAAGTGTCCCTCACCACCCAGATCAAAAGCTGTTGTTTTACTTTAAAAAACAGGCATCTTGACAAGACTGGAAAGGCTTTGCTTGTTATCTAGTGCAGAACGAAAGGAAGTATTGAAGCCCCAGATAATGGCCTTGGACAGATATTGGTATCCTCCAGCCAGCACTATTACCTCTACTGTTCCAGGAAAAAAAGCATGTCCAGAAATAAGTATGTAGGCGCCGCTCCTTATTCCAACACAGTCTGAGGATAATAGACGATAAAACCAGAAAAGAGCTTTCTGCAAGATGTTATTCTCCTTTGGGTGAATCAGCTGCAACCAAGGCTTTACGTAACATAAAGAGATTTCACAGAAGGGCAGGGAAAAAACAAGCTGCCACAAACCGGACTAATGTCCACCGTATGCACCTCAGACAGAAACTAAGGTGGTGTAGGGGATCTCCTCATTACAGCATGGTATTGGTGGAGTAGTGATGCACTCTAAACATAGTGTCAGAAATTACTGTAGTTCCATGGGTATTCTTGGCATTCTAAGGATTTGACTGGGAAAGTGACAGTGGAATCATATACAATATGAACTGTAAATAACTTATCAACAGGCAGAAAAGAGCATCCAGGTAAAAAAAAAAAAACAAACGATCAGATGGTGACGGAGTGATCAAACTGCACCGGTACTGGACCTTTATAACCGTGAGAGATGACTTGTAAAAATAGGTCCTGAAAGAAACAGGCTTGTGAGAAACAAAGACTAAGAAAAACAGCCTGAGAAAGAGGTAAAGGATAGTGGGGGGAGTGGAGGCCCACCGAGCTATGGAATGTCTCAAACACTTGTAAGTAATGAAACTATAGTCATGGGATGGATAGTGTGGAGGTCAAAGCTGATAAGGCTGCCCAAATAACACAAGATGTAGTTGGAGGGGGCAGCCCTGTGGAGACAGGAGGGTTCTGCTCTAGGGCACCTGGTCACATTTCAAGGGCCACCTGTCCAGTGAATGACCTTTGCTTCATTATCCATGAAATGCATATTAAAGTTAACACCCCTCAATATGATAACAATGATTAACAAGATCAAACTAATTGCATCATACCATGAAACATCTTACCCCTGCCCATGCATGGGATACATAGGTATGTGTGTCAACCTGGGGGATGGACCCAAGGAAAGTGTGTATAAATTGAGGGAGGGCAAAGGGGGTGGTGGGCTTGGAGAGTGAAGTGAAGCGAAGAAGATGCCTTCTTGAACCCTCACTTGTGGGATTGATGCAGGAACACAGACTGGTGATCTCTATTTCTCTATTCCCTCCATCTCCCTCCTTTCCTTTTTCCCGTTTTCCTTCACTACCATTAAGTAACACAAGGTATTCTGTATTGCTTGTCACAACTCATTATATACTTAGCCAATTATCGTGTATCCAATTAGTACATTGTGGGAAGTTAATAAATGTCTGGACTTTGAGACTTGTCCCACTGTTGTCCACTCCATTGGGGATTTACAAATCTAAGTCACTTGCCTCCCTCACCAGAGCGGGACGTGACAGTAACAAACTAATTAATGAGACCTTCAGGAAAACAGATGTACCCTAGGAATATTGACGACACATTTCCCTAAACTGGTCACTGTATGAAGGAATAGGATCAGCTGATCAAAATTGCTGTGTAAAAAGTAATGCTGCCTTCACACAAAAAGGATCCAGGTCAGCACATTACATTTTCAAAACACAAGACTGAAAAGCAACTGGGAAAGATACAGACTAAGACTGTTAAAAACTAGACTGCATCGAAAGAACAGAGACTGAACAACTTACAAGCCCACTGCAGAAGTCACATCCTGGCATCACAGTCAATCAAAACCCATGATAAATGAAAAGGAACACAAACAAATGAAGTCCTTCAAATCCTGCTTCTGTTGATAAACTCGAATACAACAAATTTACAACCACTGCTAAACACTCTTTGTCTAATTTACCCCCTCTGCCCCGGTGAACAGGTAAATACAGGAGTCTTCACACTGTGACATGCCGGCACGCATGTGGAGCCAGGAATCCAGACATTCTCCCCAGGCAGCGGGGCGTGAGACCCCCCTTCTCTTGCTGACACAGGGGGGCTTCAAGCTCTGAGCCATTAGCTAAAGAGAAAGGGGCCCAGCGCTTTCAGTTTAAACACATTATGCTTTTCTGTGTCCTGTGTTTTCCTTACAAGATGGGGGGAGTGGGCTCTGTTCAAAGTTTCCAAAATAACGTGTATACTCTTGCGATCGCAGCAGTGTCTCCACAGCAGGAAATGGCGTCTTGTATGGCCCACGACATGGCACAAGGATGCGTGAAATGGCTTGAGGCTCCCAAGCCCAATACCTAACAGGTGGTATAGGACATAGGAGTCCTGCTGTGAAGCTACCCACAGTGCCTGCCAGGGATGGTCCTGTTATAAGCTATTGCTGGAACAAGTGGCCATTGCCTGGGGAACCTCTAATATCCAAGGGCCAGAGTCATGCTAGGAGGTATGTTAACGTCTTCAGCCTAGTCTACCCACAAACAACCTGGTCTTGCCAAGCAATGTTTTACTGACTGTCCCTGCTCCTGCTCCTGGCACCAGTGCAGTCACAGCATCCCAGTGTGGTTCTCCTCACCTGGCATGCAACGAAGAGGCTTCAAAACTCTGCAAGGCAGCACCTGCATTTTTCAGCACTCGCTTTGCTTGGTCACCTTTGCTCTGATCCACTCTAGCCAATGATCCCAGACCTCTGCCAGGTCACCTCTGCCTCAAGGTTTCTCCTTCAAGACCTGCTTAGTACAAGCTTCCTTTGTTTTGGAATGGTTACTCTAAAGATGCATCCTTCTTTTGAGCATTTCACCTTCTTCCGATCCTTTAAAAAAACCAACCAACCAACCTACTCCTTGCCCTTTAACTTACAGATTGGTCTGAATATTCAACAGACATTTTCTCTTCTGAATTGTTTATAGGACCAATGGAAAGCTCACATATGTTTTACAATTAAGAAGTTATATTTGGCATGTAAGAAGTGTTCATTTCCCTTTCTTCTCAGTGAAGACTTTTGTGTCTCTGGCAGTAGCAGATTTACTAGTTCAGCCCCTCTTAACGGTAGATGACATAGCTCTAAGTTCACAATAGACAGGTCTGATACTCCTGGAAACACTAACTTTATCTTATAGCACATTATCATCATAAAGCAAGCATCTAAATATTCAGAAACTGAGTTAATGTGTGATAGTGTTTCTAAACATATTAGTAGAATTTAAAGCCAGACACAGTATTTTGATCTAGTTAAGCAAGAGGGAAACTACCAATGACCATCAAATTTCTGTGATGTCTGAGGCCTAAGGCCTCTCCTCTAATTTTTTTAGCTTTCATTCTGTTGTTAGCAATTAAGACTAGAAAGTTGAGTTGATCCACGATCAGGTCATCACACATATAAAGACATGACACCGACTGCAATTTCTCCTTCATTCAGTGTTAGGAAGCAGACTCATATGTCAAGTTTGAGGGCATTTCTCCATCATATTACACTGTTTGTCTTAAAAATACAAAAAGGATGCTACGACCAGAAGAAAGCCCTTCCTTTGAGGGCACATCACTGCACAAGCAGGTTTCTCTCCAACGTACCTCTTCTGCAAAAATTCTCTAGGCGTACTTACACTTGACACTTTTGTGGCCCTCCATGAAAATGCAAATGGCCAGTGAATGACTTCTGCTGAGATTTCTGCCTGAAAGCAAAACATCGCAGCATGTTCTGCTCTGCTTGGATCTTCCCCTCGCTATTGGTAGTCTTGTACCATCCCTCAACGGTAGCACTGGGAACACAGCTCTTAAAATTACATGCAACTGAGGCAACCTCTAATAACTGTAAACACATTATTATAAATTTACCTGTCTGATATGACAGCATACCTACAGTATCTCAACAAAGACTCATTCTTCTCTGCAGATGACCTGATCTTATTATAGGCTCTACAAAAAACGCTGGTTTCCATGCATCAGTGACTCACCACTTCAACCCCTCCTGCATATCCTCTTCCCACAGAACAGCATGATCAGAATCAGAACTATGACGACAATTAAAATCCCCACAGTAATCATCAGCCAAAGCAACGAGGATCCCTCTTCTGTGAAAACAATAAAAAAACACACCAAACTAAGTTCCGATATAAACTAAGTTAGTTTATATAGGAAGAAGACCAAAATAAGCAAAATGTCTGATTAATTACAATGTTTCCTCATCGAGACTGTAAAAGTTATTGCTAAGCTGCATTGGGCAGCAATTGCTCAAAAGAGAGATTGAACCACTTATCACTGTCACAAAGGCTAAACTAACTTTCAGAAAAGACGACAGGCTATGTTGTCATGCCTGCAAGTAGCTTTACCCAACATCTGAGCATGAATGTCCCTCCCTTGTTAGTCATTAGCCATTTAATTTGGCTGCCATTAATCAAAATGATAATACAAAGGCTCATTTCAATGCTCACTGACATTACCTTGAAAATTTTATGAATTAAAATGTATTTGAATCAAGCCAGAACTATCATGGTTTTTTAACAGAGCTAGGCTGAACTATTCATCTGAATTTCTCTTTCTCTAAAATATAAGATTGTTAAAACAACAAGCTATTACATGATTTTTCATTCTCCTAGCAAGGAATAACAAGAGTCTTAGTTTCCTGCTTTCTGAGATACACATTTCCTTTTTAAAAGGCCAAAACTAAAAGGCCAAAACAAAAGAATATAGTAGTTGAGACAGGACAAAAAGATTTATTTCAATTAGTGTCACTCTGAATTAAGAACTAACTTGCTTTTGAACTTTTAGAGAGAAGATATTAAAAGTCAGATCTTACTCTTTACTACTATTCCTATAACAGTCACTCGAGTATGTAATCTGGGAACTAACCCACAATCTCAAGATGCTTTTCTTGTCTTCTTAGCTCCCAGGTGATTTTCCTTTTAAGGCTCCAGATTTGGAGACACATGAATTTTAAATCACCCAAGCCAATGTTCCTGTGTGAACTGAGAATAGTACTTCAGCTTTTAACTAGTTCTCATCTACAGAACTGGGGTGAAAGTCTTTCAAGCAGAACAGAACGTCTGAAGAAAATTGGGAGATGTTACACTCATGTATTTAAGATTTCCCCATAAAACTAATATAAATATCTTCAACTGATCACCTTGTTGTTTGCCTGAAAATACTATTCCTCCCTGGCCATTACAGCAATGCATGTGTGTCTTAGCAAAAATGACAAAGAAACTCAAACATAAGACACAGGTTAACTGTGCCAAAACAGGTAGCAAGATGAACTGAAACGTTTGGTTAATTGTTGCTGAGAGACAGATTGTTATTAATTTCAAAACTTCCACTTAAGTGTTTATTAAGTGACCCACAGAGGTTTTACTCCATCTAGGTAGAGATCAGGTGACAAACATTTATATCTATCTTCAGGCTGTCAAAGAAATTATGAAGGCCTGTGTGAAAACTGAAGTCAGACTTTGTCATGGTTTAAGCCTGTCTGGCAGCCAAACACCATGCAGCCACTTGCTCACCCTCCCCTGCCACAGGGGGACAGAATTGGAGAGGTAAAGGTAAGGAGACTTACAGGCTGCAGAACACATGGTGCCTCTAAACCCCATGGCTCTCTACCTGAATAGTGTGGCTTTTTTTCCATCCTGGAAAGAACCCCAGTATGTTGTCGTTTCAAAGACGGCAATGAAGGTAAAACAGGATTTCCTTTCTTCTTACTTGGCACATACACATTTTGCTCCCTCCTCTTCCCAGCGGACTCCTATCCAAACATGCTATTGCAAAACACGGAGGCCAAGAGAATGCTACCAAGTAGCTGGTATTGTTCACTTACCTCCTTTCATTTTCACGGGCAATTCCACTGTTTCGTTCATGTTGCTTACTCTGCAGGTCAAGTCCTGCTCACCGATGCTCTGAGTGTTGTAGATCTCTAGTTTACTGGTGATGGACACCATCCCATTGGTGTGCCTGACCATCTTCTGTGTAGGAGTAGAATTGAACAAATTGTTCCAGGTGATGGTGGGTTCTGGGAGGCCAACAGCATTACAGACAGCTATCAAATGACCTTTGGAAGTGTTGTAATGGACAGACGCACTGAGACCTTCCAACACACAAATGGGACAACCCGTCACCACAGTGAGCACCTGATCATAAGCAGCAGTAGCAGTTTACCCATTATCAGTCAGAGCAAAACTTACTGGATTTGCACTGAGCCCCATGGCACGGGAATGCACAAAATGTTCATTGGGTCAGGTCTCCACCATATTTCAATACTCCCTTCCTTATACTGAAGTTACACACTCCAAAAGTTTCACTCAACCTGAAATCCCAGGTTTTTAAATAATCTGTGAAAGTAAAACCATTTCTTGGTCCGTGCTACTCTCCTATCTGCTAATTCCCTGTCACTGGTAGGGTTCAGCACAGCAGCTCACAGCACTAGGCTTGTACCTGGCACCAAGAAGAAACTGCAACAGGCAACGCTGGTTAGCCCAAGTTCCAGCTGGGACTGATCAGGGTCTTACAAACAAAGATCCCACCCCTTGCTTTTTAGCTGCTACTCACAGAATAACAAACAAGGACAGCCCAGAGCCAAACCCACCACAACAGGCTTGAATATGACCCCACAGAATTCTTGCTCACAGCAGTAACGTTCTGCTCCTACACCACCTTCCACCAAGGGATGGTCCTACCACTGCAGTTCCTGAGTCCACTCAAGGAAATGCCGTGGGTGAGAAAACACCTCTTTTTCCACTAGAGACATATCGCTGAAGAGAACCTTACCAAGGACACTCAGGCAGGTACGTCCTGAGAAGGAGCCCAAAGGGAAAACATTGAAGAGACACATGTAACAGCCTGAATCATCCATTCTTATGTCCCAAAAAGTGATACTTGTCTCATTGAGTACCAGACTTGTCACACTCATTCGGCCTTGATAGGGCTTGTGAATGTTTAATCCTACTGCAGTACTGTATGTAGCTATATTATTCTGTGATTTGTCGGAGTCCTTTTGCCACGTCACTTGCAAAACATCCTTGGGCTCTGTCAGGGCACAGCTGAGAGTCACGTTGTCTCCTACTTTCACTTTTCTGTGTTCATCCTGTGGCACCACTGCAGTGACATGAAATAGTTAGTGAAATGGGCAGTTGTCACACATATTTAGAAGCTAATGCTGATTCTAAGGCCTGGATTACCCACAGATAACAACTCCATCATTCGTATATTGTTTCTACAGCTTTCCCCCACCAAAAAATTCCTTCTCTTCTCCTGCATCCTCCTAGAAATCAGTGAAATTATGTTGATTTACATTGGCTGAGGCTCTGGCTTTCTTCTAAACTCTTTAAAAAAGTTTAAAAGATACATCCTACTTCTATACCCATCCCTGCAGACTTCCCCCTTCAGTTTTACTAAATCACCTCATGGCTTCCCATTCTCAGCAGAGACTCAGTTTTTGTTTTCTAAAAGCTAGAAGAAGATTGAATGCACAAGTGAAGTGCATGCCAAGCCATTCTCAGAGAAGTGAGCACCAAAATGGGCTCAAGAGAATTTCTAGACTATGGAGCTCAGAGTTTGCAGTGCATTTGAGAGAGACAGACAGAAGGAAAGACAGAAAGACAGAAAGACAGAAAGACAGAAAGACAGAAAGACAGAAAGACAGAAAGACAGAAGACAGAAAGACAGAAAGACAGAAAGACAGAAAGACAGAAAGACAGAAAGACAGAAAGACAGAAAGACAGAAAGACAGAAAGACAGAAAGACAGACAGACAGACAGACAGAAAGACAGAAAGACAGAAAGACAGAAAGACAGACAGACAGACAGAAAGAAAGAAAGAAAGAAAGAAAGAAAGAAAGAAAGAAAGAAAGAAAGAAAGAAAGAAAGAAAGAAAGAAAGATAGATAGATTTGTTCCTGAGGGACGGATCTACTATGGGAAGTTGTGAACTCAGGTGAACAACTCAGCCAGGGTCTTTGTAGGTATGGGATGCTGCATGTCCCTCCCACCTCCAGATGCTGCTCTAGGAGGTCTTGTGTCACATGTGCCATCTCCATGTCTATGCCTCAGCTATCTAACATGTGTCAAATGGCACCAGCAATCTGTATTTCACTAATTTTTGCCTCTTACCCTGTCTGCTGAAGCCTCAGGAATCAAAACCAGTTCCCCAACCATTTCCAGGTAGATTTCAGGAAATTCAACTTACCAATTGCCTTTCCAAACCCAGCACAAGCCAGACACAAAAACAGAGCTCGGAAAGTCATTTTGGAAGGAAAAATCTGTGTCACCTGAAGAAAGATAAGGATAGATGGCCAACTGAGTGACATCTTCCAGTGACACCACGTTTCCCGGGTGCAATCATTAACGATAGCTTTGTCATGTGAGGAAAAAATAGTTCTAAGGGCAGATGGTGAGTTTTGACAACTCGCATTACACAACACTGAAAGTGGCCAAGGTGGAAAAAAAAAAAAGTTGCTCGTTGGAAGTTAGAAAAGCATAAACCCACCAGAAGTGTGACACACTGGTTGTTTGGGTTCAAGCTGTGGCACTGAGAGAGAGGTAGGGTTAGCTTGTGAGATCAAGGGATAAATTGCAAGGAACTTCTCTGAGGACTTGAGGACTCCCCATGAGTTGGGAGAACTTCTGGGCATAACACATGAATTGGGGAACTTCTGGGGCATACTGCATCTGCTACGCACAAAGGTGGGAAAGGGTGTGTTGCTGCTTTCCCTAGCGAACAGCTTTTGACCTGCTTTCTGTTCCCTCAATCAGTTAATACTGCCACAACACAACTGCATTGTAGACCTGCCTGGAATTGAAGCTGCTGTCACATTTACATGGAAAAAGTATTTCACATAAAATACCTCTGTAACACACATCACCTATAGCCAATTTTTTTTAGCCAATGTCTGCAAAACTAACTGATGTGTCTTGGGAGTGTCTTCTGTCAAGAATATAAAAAAGCCCAACTTTTTAAAGATTTTTTACATGCAAAAAATAGAATCAACAGTAAAGCATTTTCTATGTTATCATATAGCTTAAAAAAAGGAGGGCTGATAAATAAAGGAATTAGAGTGAGAGAAAGAATTCAATTTAAGAAACAAATTCCCAGCAAATTCGTACGCACCACACATACACTCACAGCCTGTAGCCTGCCTTCAAATTTTAAACACACCGTGCTAAAACAACTCCTGATACAACTCCACAGTTACCAAGCATGAATACTGACCAAGTTCTTATGTGTAAAATCAGGAAACAAGAATCAATCAGCAACAAGCCTGACAAATAATGAATTTACCAGAGGACACAGTGTAGCCAGATACTTGAGCATGGTTCTAAGAAAGTCAGAAAACTCTTTCTAAAAACGCGCAAAAATCAAGGGCCAGCTGAGCAAGAGAGAGAAATTTCGAGTTACAGAAGCGTTTATAAACCAGTGAAAGACGTGCCACATCTGCAGGAAAAGAGAGTTTTCAATAGCAGCCTTATAACTCACTGCTTTAATACCCGTTTGCTCACATCCAAAGGAGTTAGGAGATTTCACACCAGGAGGAACCAGGCTGTTGTGCAGCTATACCAGTCGTGGGGAAAAAGTCCCTTTAGATAGCAAGCCCGGGCTAGCGCGTTACGGGGGGGGGTGTGTGGTGTGTGTGAAATAAAGGGCGGGGGGGAGGCGGGGCAACAAAAACAAAAAAATCCAAAACAAACAAACAAGCAGACAAACCCCACGCGTGTACGCCTGCTGCAAGTAAAGAGCAAACCCTTCACTTGCCATACCTTTCCAGACCGCACCTCAGAGTGCGGTCCCCGACCGCATCCCTGCGCCGGACTTACCGGTCCTCGGCGACCTCCTGGGGC